CGGGCTCGCCGGCTCCCGGCTCCCTGGCCACCACCCAGGCTGCACCCGAGTGAGCCGAGGCACAAATCCTGCTCACAGACCTTCCTTTTTCTGCGCTTACAGGTAAAGCTTATGTCCGGGACAAAGTCTGCCAGGAGTTCCAGGCCCTGGGGAAGGAGGACTTCCGAACCCTGTAGGTACCTCCTGCCGTATTTGCCCTCCCAGGACACTCAGCACCTAAGCCAAGACCAAAAAAAATTAACTAAAAATAATCTTAGAAAGGGGAAGATTTATTCACTCCCTGCGAATGAGGACTCCGGTTGCTCTTAACAGGAGAGAAGTTTGCTTCATTGTTGAACTCCTCAAAACAAATTAGGTGCCTAAATAATTAGGAATTCTAACAGAGCTGGTGCATGATCCCCTGGAAAGGGCAGCCCCCAGCCCGAGACCCGCTCTGGGTCTTTCCCGTCTGTTTTCCAAGGAATACGCTGCCATTTCTGGCAGCGCCGCAGCTGCTCCTCTCTGGCTGATGGTGTTAAACCCCGTTTTGGCAGAATGATGCTGCAATGTGATTTTTTTTTTTAAGAGAGAGAAACATGCCTCCGGCTCATCCTCTCCTTGCTCCCTGCTCCCAGGACCATTATCGCCAACAGCAGGAAATTCTCCAATGCCACCTTCGAGGAGATCAGCCACCTCGTCCACGAAATCGTCTCCCTGGCTGAAACCTGCTGCGTCGAAGGTGCCGACCCCTCCTGCTACGATGCCGGGGTGAGGCTGACTGCAACCGGGCGATGGACCCCCAAAACCGGGGGCGGGGGGACGGGACGGGATGGCCCCCCGGCACGTAACCTCTTCTCCTTCCCACAGTCCTCAGCTCTGTCGGCCAAATCCTGCGGGGCAGGCTCGCCCTTCCCGGCCCACCCCGGCACGGCCGGCTGCTGCGCCCAGGAGGGGCTGGAGCAGAAGCTGTGCCTGGCCGCCCTGCGGCACCCGCCCCAGCAGCTGCCCCGCTACCTCCAGCCCTCCAACGAAGAGCTCTGCCAGGCCTTCAAGAAGGACCCTAAGGACTTTGCAGACAGGTAAGCCGGGCTGGGGACGGCACCCGGTCTCGCCGATAACGCCGGGTTGAGCCCAGGTGCGTGCTGGTGCCGGCCGACGTCCGGGTGCCCACCAAGCAAACCTCGCCCGGTCTCGCCCCCGCTGCTGCGGCTCTTGCTGGCCGTGGGGCTACCAGCGCATCAGAGGAAAGGGTCGGGGTGTCCTGCATTTGCACAGGCCCCAGGAACAAGATTTTACCGAAGGGATGAGGGGTGCCATCACCTGTGCGAGTGGCTGGAGAGGGGCCACCAGCCCGCTCGATGGCTTGGTGCAATAAGCAGGCAGCACGGGATGGTACAGCAGCAGGGGGTGGTACCTGGAGAGGGTTCCCATCCCCGGGCAGCCCTAACGCCCCAAAAACCCCACATCCCCTGCCCCCGAGCACCCGATCCCGGGGTGCCGCATCTCCTCAGCCTGCCTCTGCCGCAGGTTTCTGCACGAGTACGCCAGCAGCTATGGCCAGGCACCCCTGCCCGTGCTCCTGGGCTCCACCAGGACCTTCCTCTCCATGGTTTCCACCTGCTGCATCTCCCCTGCGCCCACCTCCTGCTTCCTGAAGGAGGTGAGGCCCTTCGGACCACCAGGCTCGTCCCCATCCTCGCTCCCCGGAGAGCCGGGCGAGCACCGTGCCGATGGCCCGGGGAAAGGTGGCTGGGAAAGGCTTCCGTTTCCCTTGGAGGACACCTCCATCTTCTTTTTGTGGCAGAAACTTGAAAGGAAAACCCTCTCCCTCCTCACCCTGTTGTCAAACCGGGTTTGCTCCCGCTTCACGGCGTACGGGAAGGAGAAAGTCACCTTCAGGTAAAAGGGGGAAATGGCCTTTTCTCTCCCTGCGCACGGGTCAGGCTGGGAGCGCGTTCCTACTTCAAGCTGCGGATCCTGTTCGCAGGCAGCGTTCGCGAAGACAAACTTTAATTAAGATGTCAGAACAAGTGTGCTGTAGCATCCTATGGAAACACTCTGTGTATAGCGGAGGCGCAGAGCGAGCCCCGTGGCTCCCCATCATCTCCCTCCCACACCTCTACGCGGCGAAACCCCTGCTTGGAGCTGTTAATAGGGGAAGGGGGAGCTGAGCTCCCTAAGCCCCTCGTACACCTTGTGCCTGCCCAGCTACCTCGCCTCGCTTGCTCAGAAGATGCCCGGTGCTTCCTTCGAGGACCTTTTCCCCCTGGCAGAAGATGCTGCCGAGGTGTTTTCCCAGTGCTGTGACTCGGTGGCCGAGGACTGCATGCAGAAGAAGGTAGGGGAGCCAGGAGCCCACCCCAAAAACCACCTCCCGAGTCACAGCACGGGCTTAGAGAGTGAACCCCATCACGGTGAGGGGGTCCGCAGCCTCACCAACCCCGGCAGGATGCCGAGCCCCACACACCCTCTGGCTCCCCTCTTCGCAGTTATCGGAGCACACGGCCAAAGCCTGCGGCGCGCTGGTGGCCCGAGATGAGAGGTTTGCTGACTGCTGCAATGGGAAAAACCTCATGCAGAGCTATTTCTGCATCTTGGCCTTGCCACCGGCGCCTGCCCCCAAACTGCCGGAGGCGCAGAAGCCGACGAACGAGCAGCTCTGCGGCGAGGAGGGGGCTCGCCATGCCAAGAGGTGAGCGGTACCCGCGGCGGCTGAGTGGCTGACCCTTCCTTCTCCCCTTGTCTTCGTTATATGGTTTAATTATTGTTAGGATAACCGGGGGAGCATCCTCTCTTCCCTCAGGGCTATCGTCCCCAGGGACTGCACAAAGATGCAAAAAGCAGCCACCATCCCACACTGAGCAGCACCGGTAATAAAAACTCATATGGCAATTCGTTTCCCCGCTCCAGGTACCTGTTTGAGCTGGCGCGGAGGCACACCACCGTCCCCGACGCCTTTCTCGGCAAGCTATATGACGCCTCCGAAAAAGTCAGGGTGGAGTGCTGCTCTGCCAAGGACTCCTCCGCCTGCCTGGACAGCAAGGTGAGCAGCGGGGACGGCTCCGCTGGCTCACCCTGCTCTCCCCCCTTGGCCCTGCGCCCCCCAAACCCCCACAGAGGCTTTTCCCAGCCTGGTCACAGCCATCCTCTGCCACCCAGCGCCAGCAGATGGGAGAAGAGCTGCACCCCTTCCTGGAAAAGGCCAACCAGCTCTGCGGGCAGTACACCAAGTTAAATTTCCTCGACTTCAAGAAGAGGTAAGCCTTCCCCTCCCCCTCCCAAAAACTGGATCAGCGGAAGCAAGCAAAATCTGGCCAAAATTTTGAGGATGCACGAACGGAGCTGGTGGTTTTGAGTCTGAATAGCAGCAAAATACAGGGAAGCACATAAGACATCCCTTGCAGGGCATCCAGCCCTGCTCCCGCTGCCATCCGCGTGTGCTTCTCCCCCTGAAAATGCCGTATGGGTATTTAATGCCCCCGGGTCCCCACTAAAACCCGCCGGTCCCCACGCCGCAGGCTGCGGGAGAGCTTGATGCAGACGATGCCAAAGGCCAGCCCCGAGCTGCTGGGGCAGCTGGTGGAGCAGCGAGCCGACTTCGCCTCCACCTGCTGCCCCCCCAACTCGCCCCCCCTCTACTGCGCCGCCAAGGTAAAGCCACGGCCCCCCAC